GGTCCAGATTTAGATATAGCTCCATATATATTTTCGTCCGATTTAATTTAACTGGTGTACCAAAGTCCGTATATATCTCTCGATTTTCACGAAATTTGGCATAGCGTAATGAATTAGGTCTAGACTGATGTGTGTCAAGTTTCCTGAAAATCGGTCCAGATTTAGATATAGCTCCCATATATATCTTCGTTCGATTTAAGGGAACCCCCTCCATTCTCGATTATTTATTTTTATACCCTTCACTATACTGTGGTACAAGGTATTATGTCTTTGTGCATATATTTGTAACAGGCAAAAATAATCGAGATAGACCCATGGTTCCTTTTGAGAATATGCATAGAATCACTTTCTGAGTCGATTTATGCATGTCCGTCCGTCCGTCTGTCCATGTTAAATTGTAAACAAAGTACAGGTCGCATTTATGATCCGAATTGGATGAAATTTGGCATAGGTCACTTATTCGGCCCAAGGACGAATCCTATTGAAATTGGGAAAAATCGGTTCAGATTTAGGTCTAGAATGATGTCTGCCAAGTTTCGTGAAAATCGGTCCAGATTTATATATATATGCCATATATAATTTCGTCCGATTTCATGTAAATAGTGCCCCAAAGTCCCTATATATCTTTCGATTTGCACGAAATTTGGCATAGCGTACAGAATTGAGCCTAGAATGATGTCTGCCAAGTTTCGTGAAAATCGGTCCAGATTTAGATATGGCTCCCATATATAGGTTTGTCCGATTTCATGTAAATGGTGCCCCAAAGTCCCTATATATCTTTCGATTTGCACGAAATTTGGTATAACGTACTGCATTGAGTCTAGAATGATTTCTGCCATGTTTCGTGAAAATCGGTACAGATTTAGATATAGGTCCCATATATAGTTCCTTCTATTTCATGTAAATGGCATAACGTACTGAATTGAGTCTAGAATGATGCCTGCCAAGTGTCGTGAAAATAGGTCAAGATTTACATATAGCTCCCATATATAGTTTCGTCCGATTTCATGTAAATGGTGCACCAAAGTCCCTATATTTCCTTCGATTTGCTCGAAATTCGGCATAACGCACTTAATTGAGTTTAGAATGATGTCTGCTAAGTTTCATGAAAATCGGTCCAGATTTAGATATAGCTCCCATATATAGTTTCGCCCGATTTCATGTAAATGGTGCACCAAAGTCCCTATATATCCTTCGATTTGCACGAAATTTTGCATAACGTCTGCCAAGTTTCATGAAAATCGGTGCTGATTTAGATATATCTCCCATATATAGTTTCGTTCGATTTCATGTAAATGGTGCCTCAAATTCCCTATATATCTTTTGATTTGCACGAAATTTGGTACAGCCTAATCATTTAGGTCTAGAATGATGTCTGCCAAGTTTGGAGAAAATCGGTTCAGATTTAGATATAGCTCCTATATATAGGTGCGTCCGATTTCATGTAAATGGTGCCCCAAAGTCCCTATATATCTTTCGATTTGCACGAAATTTGGCATAACGTACTGAATTGAGTCTAGAATGATGCCTGCCAAGTGTCGTGAAAATAGGTCAAGATTTACATATAGCTCCGATATATAGTTTCGTCCGATTTCATGTAAATGGTGCACCAAAGTCCCTATGTATACTTCGATTTGCATGAAATTTGGCATAACGTACATAATTGAGTCTAGAATGATGTCTGCTAAGTTTCATGAAAATCGGTCCTGATTTAGATATAGCTCCCACATATATTTTCGTCAGATTTCATGTAAATGGTGCACCAAAGTTCCTATATATCTTTCGATTTGCACAAAATTTGGCATAACGTACTGAATTGAACCTAGGGTGATGTCTGCGTTGTTTCGTGAAAATCTGTCCAGATTTAGATATAGCTCCCTTTTATTATAGTTTGATTTTAAGTAATTGACTCACCAAGGAACCAATAGGAACAAAACGTTCTGAAATTAGTATAACCTAACCTGTGACAAGTTTGTTTGAAATCGCTTAATATTTGGATAGAGCTTTCATATATATTTACGCCCGATTTCAAGTAAATTGGGCATCAAACTCCTCATGATAGTCAGTTTGACATCAAGTTTACAAAATTGAGAATAGAATTATGTAGTTGCGTTTTCTAGAAGTAGGGGAGACTGGGGCACCTTCGGCACTTTTTTTTAGAGCCCTATATCTCAGTACTTATTTAACATATATAACAACTTTATGGCTGATTATTGTCCTCTGACACTTAATTATAAAAAATAGTACCAAAAAGATATAAAAAAATAGTATTAGTTAAAAAATTTTACAGTTTTGTAAAAAAAGTCAAATTCGCCGAATGTGCCCCAACCCGGGGTAGCTTCGGCGTTTAATGGGGCACATTCGGCACCATAGTCATAGCCGGGTAATTGTCATCGCTATCAATCTGGTTGAAATTCTGATCCTCTAAAAGCTTTATTTGGTTTTAATACGCCACACAATGTTTGACTTTTAGGGCTATATTTTCTAGCGGCGGACGTTTACATCTCAAGTTCGCACACACCATCAGAAATAGGGGTTTTCTATCGCATTTTCGTCAATATAAGCACGTTTGATCTTAAATATGCAATTTCGAACCGTATTAAAGGATTAGTTTTAAAGACAAACTCAAAAACATTTTAAGGAAATAATATTGCACAATCTGTATATGGCCGAATGTGCCCCACTGCCCTAATGCCAAATGTACCCCGAGTGCACTTTTTATAGTTTTTTTCATTTTTTTCGATCAGTTTTGTAAAACCATTATATTTTTGAATATTTTGATAATAATACACATCGTAGTTAACAACTTTTTAATAATATTGTCTTAAAAATTTAAAAAGTTTTATACACGAAATACTTACGAAATGGAATTGAAATATTACGGAAACATCTATAAAAATACAAAAACCCATGTATCTAAATAAGCTTATTAGCTAGAAATTTCAAACTTTGTGTCAGTTATTTATTTCGATATTCGATACCTATGTATCGAAACTAGTGATGTACGGTGAGAGCTTCATATCGAAAACGCGATTGCCGAAGGTGCCCCGATGCCGAAGGTGCCCCAGTCTCCCCTACATACATAGCCCAACGGATGACCTATTTATATTTGTTTGAAGTCGATGTACATACTTTATGGATAGATCTAGGTAGATTCACATTTAGATAAATATCACATATTTTATTTCATCCAATTTCATGCTAATAGTCCTGTTTAATATACCCATAGTGGTGAAGGGTATCATATAGTCGGCCCCGTCCGTCTTTACTACTTTCCTTACTGGTTAAGATTTTAAATGGGCTGGTAAATGAATACCAATGTTTGTTAAGGTTTGTAACTTTGCACATATATATTTGAAGATTTAAAAAGGAAGAAAAATAATTTACAAACATTTTTTGTTGTTATTTTTGTTAATTAAAGAGAAGTCCTTATTTTTAATGGCGGGCATGATAACTCCTCACTGGAACATCGGAATCCGAAAATTCCAAGGGTGTTCGAAAGAGTACATGTCTGGCTCTCGTATGAACTAGGATTATTGACTTCCCTCTAAAATTAACAAAATGGCGGGCCTTTGAAAAAATATTTTTGCAAAATTGCCGATTTTTGACCAAAAACCAAGTTAAAAAATAAGGAAGATCTTCACCGATTGGCTTTATCCTAGTTCATACGATAGATATACACTCACAGAGAAACGTGTAAAAATTTGTAATCGATTGGGTTATTAGTTTTTGAGTTATCGTGCCCGCCATACGCAAAAGAGAAACACGCTTTTAAAGTTTGAGAAGCCCTTTAGCCGTCACTTGATGCTGACACTATAAATCGGCTATATCTTCAAAAGTTCTTGAGATTTACACTTGAAATTTTGTAGGGACATTCTTGAATTAGTGTAGATTCGAATTAAATCAAAGAAATGTTTGACCCCGAGAATGGGGGGGTCACCTTAATGTAACTGGTGTACCAAAGGCTCTATATATATATATATATATATATATATCTCGATTTGCACGAAATTTGGCATAGCGTAATGAATTAGGTCTAAACTGATGTGTGTCCAGTTTCCTGAAAATCGGTCCAGATTTAGATATAGCTCCCATATATATTTGGCATAGTTTAATGAATTGGGTCTAGACTGATGTGTGTCAAGTTTCTTGAAAATCGGTCTATATTTAGATATAGCTCCCATATATATTTTCGTCCGATTTAATGTAAATGGTGTACCAAAGTCCCTATATATCTTTCGATGTGCACGAAATTTGGCACAGCGTAATGAATTAGGTCTATAATGATATTTGTTGAGTTTCCCGAATATCGGTCCAGATTTAGATATAGCTCCCATATATATTCGTCCGATATAATGTAAATGTTGACCCAAATTGGTGAAGGGTATCATATAGTCGGCCCCGCCCGACTTTACTACTTTCTTTACTGGTTTTTAACTCATTTTTGTCTTCAATACAGAAACAAAACAACAGACTAAAGAAAGATCGAGAAAGAAGTAGCAAACTGTGCAGTACGAACATGTTCGTACTACCGAAATTGTCGTTGAAAAGTTCGTTCAAACCGAGTAAGAACATCAAGTCATCACCTATAATGTAGGTATGCTCTCGAACTTCTTCCATCTTTCATACACATTTTATATGCAGAATGTTGTTTGTTTACGAATTAAGGTGATGTCAATGTTTTTACATAAAATGATTCTAAGAGCGATTTTAGATTTGTTGTTTCAAAATATTGTTCTTATAGGAGTGATTTTCTTATAAGAGAAGTTTTTATATAAAAGCATTTTGTTGTGCAGCGTGCATAAAAAGACTTGGTGTTCTTGAAAAAGTTTCTTATGTCCGGGATTTCCTTATAAAAGATGTTCTTATATCCCTGTTCTACTGTATTTAGTTTATTTTTTATTAAATATTAAGTATTTCTTTAAATATTAAATTCTATACTTCATCCAAAAATCTAAAACTTTTATTGTTATAATTAGTCCATTTTTTTTTTACTTCAGCTACACTAAATTTGTCTCCTCGTCTTTTTGCTCTTTTGCACATTTCAGTTCTCGCAATTTTAATAGCTTAACAAAGTAATCCTCAGCTTTTTTGTTATTATACAAACGAGCTAAATCTGTGCAAGTTAAATTACGCATATCACGGTTGTCCATATCGGCACCAAATTGGATGATCAACTTTAAAATGGTCAAATCCGAATCCATAACAACTGAAAATAAACACAAGAAGACATCATAAAACTTTAATCATCATAACGTGAAATCAAACGATGCACCTGTGCATGGGTGTGTGAGTGAATAAATGACCGGCGAGCAGTTTGGCCTTCACTCAATGGATTTTGATCTCTATCTGTTTTTAATTAAAATTTCCGAAGTTTTATGCTAGTGTATTGTCTAAGGGGTAGCTATTGTCATATGTATGAGCATATGTGTGTGTTTACTTACCAGCTCGCATTAACAGTGTCCAGCCGCAGGCATCCTTGGACTCCACATTGGCACCGTTTTCAAGTGCAAATTTTAAAATCTCACCTTGATTTGCATCCACAGCCAAATGACAGGGAGTTAAGCCGTACATATCTTTGGCTTCCATATCGGCTTTTTTGTTTAACAGCATACGAGCCACCGCTACACGACCATAGTAGAATGCTTGCTGCAGTGTCCATGGCAGAAATGGGATGGGTGAAAATTCATGGCAGAATAAAGATGGGGGGGAAGGACAAAAATTAAAAACGGAAATTTGTTGTATCGATATGATGCACAAAACTATCCTAACTGAAACACGCTGTATAAATGCGTGGTAATTGTTTTGAAAATACGTTTTCAAGGAAGGATGCCGAAGAAAAAACTTTTAAATTACTGCAAAGCTAATATTCAAATGGAATTGGATACCTTTAGTTTATCAATACAGAATCGATAGTATCTAAAAAAATACAGAATATGTATCTACATCTATTGTGGGGATATTAAAATCGTATAATCAAGATATGAATGTCAGATGTCAAATTTGTAAACAGTTTAAAAAAGGAACTTTAACGCTATCCATCCCAATTGGATACCTTTAGTTTATCAATACAGAATCGATAGTATCTAAAAAAATACAGAATATGTATCTACATCTATTGTGGGGATATTAAAATCGTATAATCAAGATATGAATGTCAGATGTCAAATTTGTAAACAGTTTAAAAAAGGAACTTTAACGCTATCCATCCCAACATTATTGGATTATCATCTAGATGAGTGCAACACACCTATCTAAATTTGTAGCTGCTTAAATATTTCCAGTCTCACTCACTCAGTGCCCGTTGACTTACTCACATGTAATGGGGTCCGGTTATTATTTGGATTTCCGACATGGACACTAGCTCCGGCCGAAAGTAAAGCATCCACAACACACATGTCGCCAAATGCAATAGCATTTGCTAAAGGCAAATAACCGTTCGGTCCAGGATATTCAATTAGAGATGGACGGCGACGTAAGATCCGTTTAACCAAAAAGTGGTGGTCCTTTTTAATGGCTCGAAACAGAGATATTGATGTCGGTTCGGTGGCCAGTGTACAACCCTAAACAAATGTATTAAAAATAAAATATATTATCTGATCATGTTTGGATTAAATTGAATACTCAATTGGATTAATAGTATATTTAAATGTTTTTAAAAAAATACTATATCATTCGTTTCGGATTTTTATTCCGAGAACAATATTTCATGATAGTTGCATCTTCTTCTTCATCTTCATCAGGAATAAATATATACGCCATAGACTAAAAACCCTGACAAAAATCAGGGTCCATTTGACCGGCTAAATATTGACCGATCTTTATCAAAACAGGCATGCTTATTCTTTAGCCCGACCCCCTTCTCCATGTGAAAATTCGCGGTGTTCGGGCCATAATTGCGGCCTCTGGAGCGATAAGAAAATCAGACAAAAATAAAGTTTTTGGTCCATTTCATCCCCTTAATATTAACGAATCTTTACCATCCTACATGCAAAATTTCGTGAAGATTGGTCCATAAATGTGGCCTGTATCGTGTTTACAAATTATAATGGACAGACGGACGGACACACATGTCTCGATAGACTCAGCTAGTCGAGATATGACGATCGGTATACTTAAAGGTGGTCTAGGACCAATATTTCGCGGCGTTACAAACTCTTGGGGCTGCAGAAAGCTATAATACCCTGACAACATAGTTGTGTAGGGTATAAAAATTAATTTTCAGAACCTAGTCAAGAATTGTTGGCGATAATATTAATATAGTCGTTGAAATATGCCTTAAGCATTTTATAAAAAAAATACGTTTACTAACATAGTATGGAGATGATAAAAATGAAAGATATTAGCCCCACCTTCAACCAAATTGGCTGTACTTTGGTATTTTGAGTTCGCATTTAGGCAGCCAACATATAACGGTAACGCCCTAATGGTAAGTTTGGTGCAACATTTACCCAAATAAATCGGTATAGGGGAGCTATATACAAATCTGAACCGATTTTCACAAAACTTCGTAGGCATAAATGTGGACCTCTTTTAATACGCTCTGCAAATTTTTGTCTCAATAGAAATAAATATTGAAAGTTTGGTGCACAATTTACAAAAATCTGTCGAAACTATATATGACAGATATATCTAAATCTGAACCGGTTTTAAACTTCATAATAAATATATGTGAAACTGAACCGATTTCATCAAAATTTCACGCACATCAAACTGGACCTAATTTAGTACGCTGTGCAAAATGTTGTCTCTATCGGAAAAATATTGGAATTCTGGTAAACCATTTATAGCATTTCCACATTAAATGAAACCTTTTACAAATTAAATGAACCCTTTTCCAAATTAAATGAAACCTTTTCCAAATTAAATGAAACCTTTTCCAAATTAAATGAAACTTTTTTCAATTGGAATGAAACCTTTTACAAATAGAATGAAACTTTTTCCAAATTAAATGAAACCTTTATTCTTATCTAAGGAAATATAATATTTGCAGTAATTTTAAACCAATATTTGAAAATTAAATCAAAGAATAAAAACAAATATAGTTGTATGGCTATGTAATTAACATAAATATTCTTTAATTCGGTGTGATTTCATTTAATATCTTTACTACATAAAACTAAATAAATAGTAATACAAACTGGGGTATTTCTTGACATTTTAATAAATAAATATTTAAGAACAAGAATTGAATACCCGGTCCTAAATGCGAAATACATATTTGACTTAATAAATTGTTGATGATTGTTATCTTAATGATGGGGTTCCCGACTTGCAGCTTGTGGGATTTTCAAAACCATGTCCATAAGGTAGTTAGAACAATCTTGCCGAGTAAGCTTTTGAATACTTCGCTCGATTACATCAACAATGTTATGTTCCATTGAAACGTCACACAGCTCAGCTCTTGGACATAATTTTATTTTTGAAAATGCATTTTCGATTGGATTTAGCATAGATTTAGCATTTTGCATAAAAATAAATTCCGAAAAAACATTTATAAGAAGATACAAACAAAATTTTGGAACATTGAAGGAATATAAGCGTAGAGGAAATAGAACTATGTTGTTGACACCACAAGTTTTAAGTCTGATCGAGTTCTATATAGAAAGTCAACCTGGAATTACCATCAAAGCCATAAAAACTAAACTTTTGAGAGAAAATGAAATAAATATTTCCACAAGCTGCATAGAATATGGATTACGGAAATTAAAAATTACGTTTAAGATGGCCTTTATTGAAATAGAACGAATGAATGACACCAGAACATTAGGCTTGAGACAAAAATATGCTCAAGACTTTACAAAATGGATACCCCACCAAGGAGAAAAATTAATATTCATTGATGAGTGTGGATTTAATCTTCACATACGAAGAACCCAAGCCCGTTCAAGACAAGGAACAAGAGCACACATTGTGTTGCCTACGGTCAGAGGTCGTAATGTCACTATAATTGCAGCAATAAACAACGCGGGAGTTGTACATCACACAATCGTTTCTAATTCCAGTGTCAATGCAGATAGATTTAAATTATTTATAGAAATTTTTTTTGAGAAAATCAATCCAGAGTTGGAAAATAACGCTCAAATACACAAGCGACATGACATAAAAAATTTGATCGAATCCAAAAGATGCAACCTTAAATTCTTACCGCCTTATTCTCCAATGCTAAATCCAATCGAAAATGCATTTTCAAAAATAAAATTATGTCCAAGAGCTGAGCTGTGTGACGTTTCAATGGAACACAACATTGTTGATGTAATCAAGCGAAGTATTCAAAAGCTTACTCGGCAAGATTGTTCTAATTACGTTATGGACATGGTTTTGAAAATCCCACAAGCTGCAAGTCGGGAACCCCATCATTAAGATAAGCAGTTACCTTATCATCAACAATTTATTAAGTCAAATATGTATTTCGCATTTAGGACCGGATATTCAATTCTTGTTCTTAAATATTTATTTATTAAATGTCAAGAAATACCCCAGTTTGTATTACTATTTATTTAGTTTTATGTAGTAAAGGTATTAAATGAAATCACACCGAATTAAAGAATATTTATGTTAATTACATAGCCATACAACTATATTTGTTAATATTCTTTGATTTAATTTTCAAATATTGGTTTAAAATTACTGCAAATATTATATTTCCTTAGATAAGAATAAAGGTTTCATTCAATTTGGAAAAAGTTTCATTCTATTTGTTTCATTTCATTTCAATTGGAAAAAGTTTCATTCTATTTGTAAAAGGTTTCATTTCAATTGGAAAAGGTTTCATTCTATTTCTAAAAGGTTTCATTTCATTTGGAAAAGGTTTCATTTAATTTGGAAAAGGTTTCATTTAATTTGGAAAAGATTTCATTTAATTTGGAAAAGGTTTCATTGAATTTGTAAAAGGTTTCATTTAATCTGGAAATGCTATACATAAAATCGGAGGAAACTATATATGGGAGCTATATCTAAATCTGAACCGACTTCAACAAATTTTAAAATGTTCATCAAGCTGGACCTTATTCAGTACACTGTGCAAAATTTTGTCTGAATCGGGCGAGTTTGGTGCATAATTTACCAAATATCGGACAAACTATATATGGGAGAAATATCTAAATCTGAACCGATTTCCACAAAACTTCGCATACATCAATCAGGACCTAATTCAGTACGCTGTGCAAAATTTTGTTTCTATCAGAAATACATTGGAAGTTTGGTGCATCATTTACCTAATATCGGACGAAACTATATATGGGAACTATATCTAAATCTGAACCGATTTTCTTCAATTTAAATAGGGTTCATCCTTGGGCTAAATAAGTGACCGGTGCCAAATTTCATCAAAATCGGATCATAAATGTGACCTGTACTTTGCTCACAAAAATACACGGGCGGGCGGAGAGACGGACATGCATAAATGGATCAGAAATTGATTCTATGCATATTCTCAAAAGGAACAATGGATCTATTTCGATTCCTTTTGCCTGTTACAAACATATGCACAAAGACATAATACCTTGTAACACAGAGTGGTGAAGAATATTTAAGGGGACCCCCTCATTGTCGGGGTCAAACAAGATCTTGTGAAGATCTTCCTTATTTTTTAACTTGGTCAAAAATCGGCGATTTTCCAAAAATATTTTTTCAAAGTTCCGCCATTTTCTTAATTTCAGAGCCAAGTCAATGATCCTAGCTCATACGAGAGCCGGACATGTACTCTTTCTAACACCGTAGGAATTTTCGGATTCCGATGTTCCAGTGAGGAGTTATCATGCCCGCCATTAAAATAAGGTATTTTCTTTAATTACAAAAAACAACAACAAAACAATAACAAAAATTTTGTGTAAATTATTTTTCTTTTCTTTTAAATCTTCAAATATATAGGGGAGAGGGGGCACCTTTGAACACTTTTTTCTTTCAAGCCTCATAACATTTTTTATTTTATAATTGTTGTGCCAAAATTTGTCGACAACTGAAAAAGCTAGCCAAAGTGGTTTAAATAACAAGATTGCCAAGATGTTATGTTATGAGCGCTGTTCAAAGGTACCCACGTTCAAAAGGTGCTGTTCTTCCCTTAACCGCAGGAAATAATATTTTCGTGGTATGGTCTGCCCCGTCCGTCTATACTGCAATTTGGAACTGGGTGGGTTAACGATGTCTTCACAAAACATTTTTAATATTGGTCAATCTTAGATTGATTTCCGACTTTTTAAATTCACTTCACCACTTTGGGTCCATACAGAGTTGATCCTACATACAATATCTTGTCGATAGAAAAACATTGCATGTTTGGATGGCCATTGACATGGGATCGTCGACATTGAATATGTGATCTACATAGATATATGGACCAATTTAAGGGGAACCTCTCCAATTTTCGGTTTAAAAGAACAATATATATATATATATATATATATATCGAAATCCCGATAGTGATCGCAATATTTAAAATAGAGCTCTGAAATTTTGGACAGACATTGCGAGTCTTCCTACGATGTGGGGTATTACAAATGGGACATAGGGGTGTAGCCCTCTTAATATTCGGTATTTAGGGCATTTTGAACACGTTTTCAATCAAATTGGCTATATTTTGGGTGCTCATTTTATAGCACATCCTTGTAATAAAATGATTAATTTCGACCCAATTTTTTGTTCCTTATATTATCCAATAAAATGACATATTGTGGGAAAAATGGTTAAAAACTAGTAATAATTAAGATTTTTACCCTTAAATGAATATTTGTTCTTATTTAAGATTTTTGTTTATAATGTCAGCAACAAGCGACGGAATGAGAGATTTTCAAACTTTAAATTAATGAGTGCTAACTAATAATCCAATCCGTTCGCCGTTTCGGGCGAAACAAATAACCTTAGTTCATACCCGAGCCAGATATGAACGAATAACGATATTTTGACCTGATACAATTACAACTACATTTTTAGTAATTGCGCCACTGTAATTGAAAACGCTTTAAACACAGTACAATTTTTTCTGCAAATTATCCAAAGATATTGTGGTTTAATAAGAGTCATTGAACCTTATTTTCGCATCAACTGTTGTCATTCTTATGGTTGGAAAATAGGAGGTTGGATGTTGGAATCGGAGGATGCTCAATATTGCTAGAAGTTATGGTAACAACTCAAAGATGATCAAATAAGTCACACAGATTCAATACAATTCTATTTCTTGGAATTCACTCAAAATCTTTGGCATACCCTTTTTAATGCCATGCAACTGTATTACGCTCTACATAGATTGGAATCCACAGGACTTACCACAATTTCATTGGAAGTTTGTAATAATTCGTATTCGTTGGCATTCAATGGAAGCCTTAGTGCTTTCACTCTCAAACGATAACCAAAATTTTCTTCCAAATTGTCGATGGTTGTGGAACATTGACTAGTCCTGAAATGATGAACTGTATGTGAACTGTTTGTGAATTGTAAATTCTGCCAACTGTCTCAATGATGGCAACCGATACTTTTATGATTGCCTTCGTTAGTATCGTTTTTAATTTCAATTATTACCAATCAACTTTGGTCCATCCTTTTGTTTTGTGGTGCCTTTCAATGCGGTACACATCGGCATCAGCCACACCGCTCCATTCCAGTGTAATGGAATTTACAGTTTCTTTTATAATTTTTACAATGAATTCAGTTTTATTGCCAGAATTCTTTTTCGGTTGCTCTTCCTCCTTTGTGGCCATTTCGATACCATCTTGTTTCAATTTTATTTTGTCATTGATTTAATATATTGTTAGTGTTATTTTCATTGTGGCGTATTATTTTTCTTTAATTTGCTGTGAGGGTTTTACTGCTGTTTGGTTTCTTGGTATCCACAGAGCGGGTTGCTAGTTACAAATTTGTTAGCACTCTACTGTCGGCATAGGTTTTATTTAGGAGAAAATAATATTATTTTCGTGTTGTATTGATACACTTTCATAAACAATTTCAAGTTACCAGGATTTGTCACATTAAATGTGACATTCATTTGTATAAACAATTTCAAGTTACACGGATTAGTAACATTCAATATTTGAAGTGTTTCGTTATTGATTTAATTTGGATTTGCGAAGGTTGCATATCGTATTTCAGGATAGGAAGTTATATACGATACACCAATTTCATGCTTGGGTGAAGGTTTATTCATGCAGGTTGTGAAGGTTTTACGAGATTTTTTTTAATATGAATTTTTTAGAAATATTTAGATAAATATTTTTGATTACAAATTTCTTCAATAAAACATTGAACATTCAAACAAACTGTCTGTAAATGACATTTTACGTTACCATTGAATCTCGGTAAAGTCACCTGAAATAGGTACTATAACATTTTACAAATTTTTATGTTTAAATTTGATTTGTTCATGATCTAAAAGTCGTTACATGCCTAAAGTAAGATACCAAATAACTTGTTCACAAAATGCTATGACAATTCGTAACTATGGTAGTAGTAATTGGCCGTTTGTTATTCCGTTTGTATTTGGTTTCATTAAAATAGAAAAATATTCTTGCTATCAAATTAAATTATCGCAAAACCTAGAAGGGAATTTTGTAGTATTAATTTAAATCGCTTTACATTTCTCAATATTAATCAACACCCTCACCACCATAAGGAGATGCCGGCCAAATCGATTTTATACCCTACGCCACATAAACGTAGGATTTGAACAAAAAATTGGATTGTTTTTTAAATAGAAACCAGTAATGAAAGTAGTAAAGTCGGACTAGGCCGACTATATGATATCCTTCACCACTTTGGGTATATTCTACATATATATCCTAACAGACGCAGCGTGTTTGTTATATATCTATATCTGAACCGATTTCATGGAAACTTGCCAGAGACTAATTTATATTACATCAGTACGTTGTGTAAATCGGCCTAGCAATGGATCTTTTCACGAAGCTTAGCAACATCATTCTAGACTTAATTCAAAATTCGTGTAAATCGAAAGATATATATAGGTGCACTTTCACATAAACCAATTAGATATATATATATATATATATGGAAGCTATATCTAATCTGAACCGATTTTCACGAAACTTGGCAGGCATCATTCTAGACCTATTCATTGCGCTGTGCTAAATTTCGTGCAAATCAAAAGATTTCCAGAGACTTGAGTGGACTATTTACCTATAATAGGGCGAAGCTATATATGGGAGATATATCTAAATCTGAACCGATTTTCACGAATCATTCTAGACCTTATTCATTACGTTGTGTCAAATTTCATGCAAATCGAAAGATATGTAGGGACTTTGGTGGACCATTTACATTAAATCGGTCGAAAATATATATATATATATATATATATATATCTGAACCAATTTTCCCAATTTCAATAGGGTTCGTCCTTGGGCCAAACAAATGAGCTGTGCAAAATTTCATCTAATTCGGATCATAAATGCGACCTGTACTTTGTTTACAATTTAACATGGACAGACAGGCGAACGGACGGACAAGCATAAATCGACTGAGAAAATGATTCTATGCATATTCTCAAAAGGAACCATGGGTCTATCTCGATTATTTTTGTATAAACAGTATAAATAGGGTATAAACAGTTTATAGGCCTATATGCTCATGTATAATAGACGTAAGCCAAATTTGCAGTAATGTGGGATTTGACTGATTACTTGCAATTCCTATGTGAATTTTGCAAAAGATAGAGATTTAGATTTGTGTGCAGTTTTATTAATTTATTTATATTTTGAACCGATTTTCACGCAACTTAACACACATAAAGATATATAGGGACCTTGGTTCACCATTTACATTATATCTGACGAAAATATATATGAGAGCTATATCTAAATCTGAACAGATTTTCATGAAACTTAACACACATCATTCCAATTTCGTGCAAATCAAAATATATATAGGGATATTGGTGCACCATTGACATGAAGAAGGACGAGAATATGTATCGGAGC